CCATATGCTCCTTTGTTGCTCTGTCTCTAGGGAATCAAGGAAAATACATATTTATCCCATTTTAAAGAACTAGCCTGGTAGAAAGTGCAATGTCTATCTGTCACGGCTTCTATCTGACAAGGACCCTGACATATCTTTCCAGGTTGCCTGATTTTGTGCTTTTGTTGTATCCGTCCTACCTACGGTTGAAGTTTAGCGCAAATTCTCATGATTGCCCCTGCTATCTGTATTACAGTTACTATAATAATGTATTTTATCTAATTTTATTGCATTTTACATCTTTTTTTAAGTTTTATTAATAATAATTACAAGTTCATGTATTTTATTGTTGTGGTCTCTGGCTAAAGGCCATAATAAAGGTTTGATTTGATTTGATTTGGGAAATTTGCCAGGGACTTTTCTCATTTAGCTTTCTTTATTTATCTTCTAACATATTTTTTCCAGTGATTTTTTGTTTTTCTGACTTGAACGCTACTGGCACTCCATATTGCCTAAAGCCTGTTAGTATATTTTTCCTTACTCACTTGTTCCAGCTTGCCTGAAATTATTCCAGAACATGTGAAGAGGTACCTCTCTTAAAATATACTTGGTTAACATAATGTATACTATATACGGTTTCTTCTAAAGTGATTGAATCAGCTGACTTTAGATAAATAAATTTCTTATATGCTTTATTGAAAAGTGTCAGTTTGGTTTTGTGGTTTATAGAACTATTGGGGTATCATACAGTGGATCCTCATTGCTCTTTTGTTGCCAGGTGGTGGGAAAATCATCTGCTTTTTTTTGGTAGAAGTAATGCTGTTAGTAGAAGAACAATTTTGGATTTCACCCATAATCTAACCCTCCAGAACACTATGGAAGATATCACAAGGGAACAGGTGATGCTCCAGCCAACAAGATACTCAGCTTTTTCCCATGAAGTTAATCTTTTTGAACCAAAGTCCTTTCTACTTTAACATCCTGTTTCATACAGTAACCTATCATATGTCTGAGGTTTTAAAAAAATAACATTACTGTGGAGTTTCTCTTTTAAAATAGAATAATTTGCTAATTTCCTTGTGTGCCCCTGCTGTCTAAATAATATACAGCGAACTGATTTCTCAGTGTTCTGAGCTGAGACTGATAAAAGACAATGTATTTGTAATTACAATGATTTTTTTTTAATAAGTTTCATTTTATTTCAGACTCATAGCAAGGCAACTTGCTAAAATACATGCTATTCATGCTCACAATGGATGGATACCCAAGTCCAACTTATGGATAAAGATGGGAAAGTACTTCTCACTTGTACCAACAGAATTTACAGATGAGGAGTTGCATAAAAGGTAAGTGCTTTAAACTATATCCATGACAGTTCTTCCAGAGCTCATACATGAACATATCTCAGTATCCATCTCCAGTCTAAAAATATAAAGTGAAAGTAAAGTTTTAGAATATGTGGAGCTCAGAAAGTTTTAACATGTACTACTGAAATAAGAGAATGTTCATAGAGTTCTAAAAAGTATAATTGAAACTGCTTTTTCTGCTCCCAAATTCAAAAAGGTTTCTAAAAGATGTCCCAAGTCGTCAAATTCTACAGGATGAAATGGCATGGATGAAGGAGAGACTGTCTAATCTAGGTTCACCAGTGGTACTTTGTCACAATGATCTGTTGTGTAAAAACATTATCTACAATGGAAAACAAGGTAGGTATGGAACAAAGCTGTAAGTAACCTTTAAAAATTGTTTTATACTGCCTAATATAGAGCAACAGCTTGTGGAGGGTGGTTAATTTCAAATCTATTTTAAATTATTTCTAAATGTTGCTTATAAATTGCTTTAATAGTCATAACTGATATTTTAATATATAAAGGTTTATAATAAAGAATATTTTCCATAATAGCCATTTTTATTCTATGTACTGCGTAGACAGAAGCAATTTAAGAATAAATTGTTGTGTTAACTATCCTTGATCCAGACTTATTATTTCTGACAGCCTTGGGAGCAAATGTCTCTAGGTTACTGTATATTATCTCTGTATTCTGAATTATCAGATATATTGATGCCACCGAGGAGTTCTGCATGGTGAAGTATCTGAAAAGATACTTTCCAAGGCTCTGTTTATACCTGCTGATGAGGTACATAGGTATCTTTAAAGTTGACCATTTGTTTGTAAATATATTTTCTGTTGGAAATATTTTGAAAATTGGCTTTTTGAATTAATTTTGCTATCAGTTTCAGGGGCATTTGAACTTCTGAAAAGAATAATCATGTTGTCAGAATTAATCACATATAATTTATAACATGGTCCAACGATATTAAAACATTCCAACATTTACTGTTTTCAGTGACATAATTTGGTTATTAAATAATAATGTGGACAAGCCAGCAATGCATGCCTGTTTCCCTCTGTCCTTCATGTTCATTGTATTTTTGAGTTGCATATACACCAATTCAGATTATGGTCTTATTATAAACTTAAGACTGAAAGCATGGTTTGGAGTTCTCAAGTATATTTGAGAGACCTTTGCACTAAAATCAGTGCAAATACAGTTCATACTGGGATCAGAGAGGAAAATATTTTGGAGAAAAAGGAAATTTTATTTCCCTTTTCAAGTTCAAAATACAGCTTCCAATTAACCAGCATTAACTCTGAATGAGACCTGTGTCTGAATTGAATAAAGCAAAATTCACATTGATGAAAAAGTAGCACTTAGGAATTGGATGGGATGGAATAAATCATAGATTATTGTGCCTTGAAGTTGATGCTTGCTTTATCAGGAGGTAAAAATAAATAGAATGTCCCCCATAAATTGCTATAAGGAAGGTGCATGGAACTTTTTAATATTTTCTCTTCCCTCAATTCTTTACTGGTATTGAAGCAAGCAGCTCCTTAAAAACTTGAACTAGTATATGTAATTCCTGGAGAATCATATGACTTTTCTTAAGTAATTAACGTAATATACTTTCTCCTATGTAGAAATTATTACTTTTAAACATGCCATACAATGACAGTTATGTTAGCTGTTTTTCAATTCAAACTAGGTTAAAAGGATACCAGTGAAATTATCACTTTTTTCTTTCACCCATCTGTGAGATTTTAATTATAGCCAGAAATTAATACCTCATAGCTCTTCTGTTGCAGCAAAGACCCTTACCTGTTGATAAGTTAAGATGACTTATCAGCCATCTGTCTAGATCACTCTCCTTAGATTTGACTTTGAGTCCTAATATATGTTTGTGTAAGAGATGTAAACTTAATTCATACAAATCAGAGTTATTTCATCAAATCTGAGGAAAGTGATCCTTCTATAGAGCTGATGGAACTTTTTTAACAAGTATCTTGACAAAAAGTTCAGAACGCTATCAGAGTTTCTAGGCTTCACATGCCCACATTTGAAACAAATCTGCTGTCATTTTCTTTTGTGAACAGAGTGGAGAATAAATCAGTGAGAGCAGTACATCATTTAAGAGCATTTCTACAAAAACCAGTGTGTGAGTGTTTAGTATTTGGGAACAGGGAGGGGGAGAGGGAGAATTCTCAATATGTAAAATTGCTTGCAACTTTTTAAGGTGGGGGAAGTACTAAGTGTATGTAGTAGCTAGAGTGTACCATTAAAGCTGAAGTGTTTAAATGTTGCAGCACAACACATACACAGTTAGGGCAGAGTGCAAGTTGATCATCTTATGGTAGTTGAAGTTAACAAATAATAGGCATAACTATTATTTGTTGTTTCTGATTTTATGAGGTCTTGTGAGCAAGCCTAATGGTGCTTAAGACTTCTGCAATGCTGAAGTATGGAGTATTGCTTTAACCTTGGAATAAGTAAACTGTGAAAAAAAATTCAAACTGTGTATTGTCTTGTACTTGGCAACAGTGTTTATGAAACTGGTACATAACAGTATGATAGAGGAACCATTTATTTTTGCAGTGGAAACTCAGCTTTAATTTTAACTTAAACTTTTTTGTGCAGTAGAAGGTAAATTCTTAAACAATGCTGTTAATACATCACTGGTGTGCTGAAATGTTTTGCAAGCTACTTGAAAAAAAGAAGTTCTAAGATGCACAGTGGTCTCTCCTTATTACTATTATTGATTTAATTTGTTAGTAACAAATCGTTTCTAGAGAAAACTGTTTAGATAATTTTTTAAAGAAATGTAAGAATGCCTCCAGCTAAGTATGAATCTGGACAAACTGGTTTAATCTATGGTTTGTGCAAATGAGTCTGGATCAGGAGCCATGTTTTAAACTAATTACAAGTTGTCCCAATTCATATTAAGACAGAAGCAAACAGTTCAGGTGTAATGCTAAGCAAGCCTTAATTTGGTTGCTTCTTCCTTTCTCCTGTGATGCAGCTACAAAGAAGAAAATCAGAGCGTACTTATTGTGACTCATTCATTAAAGCAACTGCAGGGAACATTTAATTTCTAATTTGGTCTTGTTATGAGCTTTTAGTACTCAAAGGAACTTGAACTTAAAATGTTACCAGATCAATTCAAAATGTGATCAACTGTTCAATGATTAAATAGTCTTCTTCCATATAGTTTATAAACCCACTTTTAAAAGTATAGCCCAATTACTGTATTTACCCAAAATGATTATAAGCATGAATAACACCCCCTGCTCCAATTATTAGAGAAGAAAAAAATTAATTGGCTTCAATTATATTCTCAGCAAATTTGAAGATGACTTTCCCATTTGGAAGGTGAACTCTTTGGGGAGGAAATAACTCTTCCTTTCAGATAAATAAGTAAATAATTTCTGCAAATGTTATAGTTGTTGAATCCAGTTAATAGGCTATTAATATTTCCATCTTCTATAAACAAGGCTTTAGGTGGCAGATGTGAAGAGAAATTTAACTGTAGAATTAGGCGTATAAAATCATGTTTCAAGAGCATTTAATGTCATTCTTGGACTGTATGATAATATCCTTTATTTTATTTGAACGTCAAAAAGTTGTCCTATAGCTTTTAATCCTATATAAAACAGAAAAAGAGCTATTGGTAAAAATAATGCATTGTTTAATGCATTGAGAATAGCACATAGTGTTCAAATACACCATATTCAAATACACTTGATATTAACATCCTAAAATTACTCCTTCCTCATTACATTTGTATATAAGAGATTATCAATGCATAAGGCTCTTAAATTACTTATTTTAGCTTACCTAGTTGAAAATTAGTACTTTTAAATGATCTCTAAAGATGGTAGTAAGCTAAATATATTTTTACTGTGCCTGTTAAACCTGGCTAATGGTGCTTTACTAATTCAGGCTAACATCAAGAGAATACTATTTTTTAAATAACGTTATCTTACATAATACATCTATAATTATTTCTGAAAAAGTAGCAGACAAAATTGCATTAGTACTTAGCAGTTAGTAACAAGTCCTCAAAACTGAAGAATGGGACTGGAAGACTAATTTTAACATCCATTATTTAAATTTTTTTGGTGAAGTACTGTCACAGTTTTGTTTGTATTGACTACAAATCCAAGTTATTTGTATAGATGTTTGTGTAAGAGGGAATTGGACAAAGGCAACTGGGCAAACTGCTTTTGCTCAATTCTTTTCTTTCACTACATGTCGGGTATTCACACTGCATTGAATGTATCACATGCCATAAATAGTATTTTAATCAGGATTTTTAAAAACATTATTTGGAGTCTGGCTCTGATTACTCTTTAAGAATTTATTTGGACCATGTTACATTCCATTCTCATGAGTATTTGGGAAATATGACTTTGAAGGAAAGAATTATTCTTTCTCATATACTGTCCTATTCTAATCCTGCCATGTAATTAAGATTCATTATTCTTCACATAAATAAAAACAAGTGAAGAACATTGCATTTAAATTATAAAATTATGCTTGGCAGCAGCCATATTTCCTTGAACTCAAAAATGAAATGGAGCTGTGCATCTTGAATCATTGAATTTCTTGCAAAACTTAAATTTAAGGCTGAGTTCCACTGTAGTATCAGTCTGTAAAAGGAAGAGCAGTGAAATGCAGAACTTTTCTCTTTAAAGTTTTGTGTCTTGTCAAATATGAGTTTGCCAAATTTTCTTCATCTGCTACAGATTAGGTATGCCATTGTTGCTGCCAAGTGGCGGCGTGCACCGTGCTACTTAAAGGCACTGACTGGAGGTTTATCGCATCACTTGTTCGCATGCACCTCCCCCTAGGAGAGCACGGAGCCTGGTAACAGCCTCATCTGTATCTTAGCTTCATTTTCTTTCTTTCTTTCTTTTTTTTTTTTGTAATATTGTTAATTATAACTGGAAGTTAGAATTTGAACAAAAGCAAGGGTTAACTGATGGGGATAACAGCATTGCAGACAGAATTAACAAAGTATATCTTGAATACAAATAATGTTTTATCTTAAATAACTATTGCCTAGTGTTGTGCATGCAGGTCTTTCACCTGCCATCTTTATTGTTTTTTTAAGTGCAAACATTTGGATAAAATAGAATCCTGTTAAAGGTTAGCTGTATCGGATGGCAAAAGAAGAGTCAAACTGAAGCTGAGTGTGCATTTGTTTTTTATTGAATCATCTTTATAAGATGAGTGACTTGGAAAATAGGATCTGTTTAGAGCCATCCAAAATATTTTTCTGATTTGCCTGTAGGGTGTAAATTTACTCTCTGGCTTGTAAGATACTGTTGTGAGAAGCCTCTGTGTATCTTTCAACTATATTAATCTGTTCCAGCCCTGCCACCCTCCCCCAAAACCCCAGAATAAAATAATACTCTAAGTCTTGTGGCATCTTAAAGTTGACCAAATTTATTATGTATCTGATAAGAATTTTTCTCAACAAACTGTAATTACATTTCACAAAGAATCCTGAAATGTGTAATTGTAGTTAGAATATTTAGAATGGCCCTCTTATGGAACTATAATTCCCATGGTTTCCTTGGAAAAAGGAATGGCTTATAAGAATTGCTGGCAATATATTCTAGCAGTGAGAACATTTAATGCTTACCCTTGCACTGCATGATGTAAACTACTGTTTATGATTGTATCGCCATATATGTTTTTCCCTTGATATATTAGACACACCTAAGGTAAATAAAAGCAGCTTAATTGTTTAGGGGTTGATAGGCCATTATTGCTTGGAAACATGTAGTGCTGCTTCATTTCTTCACATTTTAATGAATCTGAGACATAACACTTGTTCAGGAGAGACTTTCACTATGAATTCATATTTGGCTACAACTGTTGTATGGCTTCATGCAGATATTGTTGTTCTGATATTAGGTAAACACTTGGGGAAGATGTGCTGTAATGTAAGCAAAAGGAACAAATTTTGTATAAAGGAAGCAAAATAACAGCACTCATACTCCCTTTTGCAAAATGATAAGTATTCTATTAAAAAACCCCTTGTCTGTAACCATACTAACTTATTTTGTGTTCAGCCCTGCTATCTTTGGATGAGGAATAGTTTAAAAATGTTTTGAATGTTATATTCAGAGATCAAGTCATTCTAACGATTTGAATTTAAGATAACTGATGCCCCCCTGTGGTACAAAAGTAGAAGTTCTATCCTTAAGCAATTAAGAACATGTATCTTTCATAAAGAAGTTTATTCTGTTTGTTAAAACAAACAAAAATGCAATCTTGGAATTTCCTAAAATGCATGCAACAGAGTACAACAGACTGGAACACATGGCAGGTATTAAAAGGCTCAGTGCAGATTCACAGTGCTCCGCTCTTACTCTTACAAATTTTATTTTTGTGTCTCGTGTAGGTGATGTTCAGTTCATTGACTACGAGTACTCTGGATATAATTACCTCGCTTATGACATTGGGAACCACTTCAATGAATTTGCAGGTATATTAGTAACCTGGCTGTTAATGGCTTGATCATCAGAGGATTGGATGAGTGTGTCACAATGCACAGGAGTACAAACAGAACCACTTCTCAGATTTTTTAAAGCAGCTGCCATCTTTTGCAAGGCACATGCAGGTGCTTTGAGAGTTGTTCCAGCTGTTTACATGTGTTTGCACGCGTAGCTGGTTTACTGGAAAGAAGACCCAATGACTTGTTAATCCTAAAATAAATCCACTCTCCTGTGAGCCTAAAAAGTCCCTGGACCTAGTAGCAGCGGGGAGTCTCCCACTAAAAATTTAATTTAAATTTTGAATTCCTTGGAAGATAGAGGCCAATTCCTTGGAAGACAGAGCTTCTGCAGTCCACCCTTGACGACAGAAGCTCACTGGACCAGCCCCTCCCCCCACTCATAATTGGGAAAAATGGAAGGAAGGAGGAATACGTATGCCCCTTTTGCTCCTCAACAAAAGGAGGGATATAAACTTAACACAAATACATACAGGTAGTCCTCCACTTACGACCGTTTGTTTGTGATCATTCAGAGTTATGACAGTGCTGAACGTATGATGGTTACTTCCAGTATTCAGAGTTCTGGCAGTCAAAGCACCCCTGCAGTCATGTGACTGTGATCTGGGCACATGGCAGTTGGCTTGCACTTAGGATCAATTGCAGTACCCTGCGATCATATGATTGCCATCTGCGATCCTGCTGGCTTCCCCAGATAGTCAGTGGGGAAGCCGGCAGGGAAGGTTGCAAGTTGCTGGGGTAAGTCTCTCCCACCTGTACACCCTCCCTCAGCCCCTTGGTGCTTGCACTGTGCTGGCCACTTATACCCCAGTGCACCCTCTCCAGCCTTTGCCGCACCTCCCTCACATCCTTGTGCACCCTCACTCGCCCTATAATGTAGCAGGTATTCCTGCTGAAACATTAAAACTCTTAATTAAATTTAAATAAAAATCTGTATGAATATGCTTTAACAAAGCATTGTTTAGAGAGTTTAATATACTAATTTCAGCTATGAAGATTGAGCCCTAATGTATGAGAAATTATATAAAATTGGAAGCTGTAGTTTCCTGCTTCATTTATTTAGAGGAAAGAATGTAATCTACAAAAAAAAGCACCTGGTCTGCACAACTATTTTTAAAAGTACATTTTAATCCTTTTTTCATTTCCAAGATGACTTCCAGAGCAAATGGAATTTTCCATCTCTATCTGATTTGCTTGAGTCTTACTTAGTACTCCTGTGAGAAATGCAAATTCTTTTCTTTTTCTTAGCATTCTTGGAGAGACATCTTGAAATATTTGGATTTGATTCCCATCTATAGTTAAGGGTGTCTCGATCTGTTGTAAAATGGCATTTCTTGTTCTTTTGTGCAATAATCTCACAAGGATATCTCAGGGTACTTTTTCTCTTTTATGCCAATGTAGAATCTATCCTGAAAATGTTTTCTATATCTGGGGAATCTCCTTGTGTTTTAGATAATTTTGCATTGGCACCTTGAATTGACCTTCAGGATCCTTCTTTCTGAAGTCTTTTGGGAGAAGCTCATTTTAATTCTTTACTATGGTCACTGACCAGAATTCAACAAATTTTCAGCATTTGAAACAGAATAAAACAACATAATTTACAGCTGGATCATGCAAACAAAGTGTGTCTGGTTTTACAAACAGTATAGCAAAATTTGGCCATGCTCATTGAAACCAAATCATACTGGTCTGATAATAGCAGCTGTACATAGAATAAATCAGAATTGCCTGGGCACTTCATTAAATAAGGAATTAGAAGGTGGACCCTTACATCCTTATGAAAAATGCAGTACAAGCAGGACAAGGATTATTTTTAAAAATCGTTGGTCAGCCTTTTTAACTAATTGCTAATAGTTATACTTGTTGGTATATAACTTTTGGGCGCTATTGGCACATTTTGAATTCTGAGAGTATACTGTGGGCATATGTACTTTATACATACCTGCCATACAATAATATAGAAATTGGAGAAAGTAATAAATAACAATCCAAAGAAAATAAAGGAATGAGGTGAGAAAAAAATGTACCTAAATCTAGTTTATACCAACACCATTCACTATATTTCTCTCTATTTTTGGAAACCATCCTTGCACTACATCTGTACCCTGCTTCAAACATTCTATTTTTATTTTGGCTACTAAGGTAACCTTTAGGTTAGAGATCCTAGCTTGCAAAGAATATGTAAGCATGCTTGGAGTAAAACTTAATTTGGGTAGTGCTTGTTATATATTGGCCAAAATGTGTCAACACTGACTGATAGTGTTTGGTATGGAATGCTAAATATGATAACAGGTCCCACTAAGGCTGCTAACCTAGTTTGCATCTTCTCTGACTAAGAAAACATCATGTAAAGAACATGCTATGGTTGCTCTCACAAAATGGCTGCTGTGGTAGTTATGGCTGCGGTGAAGGGAAACCACTAGCCTTCTTGGGAGTAAGCTTCATCTTTAGGGAGTATTTCCAGACTCTGAGTCTGATGGCCATAAAGACTACAAGAAGAGGGCTCGTGAGCAGGAGCATAGAGAGAATGAGCAAAAGCTGAAGGCAGAGAGAAAGTGAAAGGTAAAAGAAACAGCTGTTCGACTTCTCTGTTCAGGCTTGTAAGACCCCCTGAACCCTTCTGAAAAGCTCACTTCCCTGATGGACAACTGAACTTCCCCTCAAATAAGAATGTTGGGTGGGAAATAAAGGAGGTAATTTCTTTAAAAGAAAAGGAGTGCCTACATTTCCTCAATTAAGACTGGCATTCCAGACTAGTCTGTTGGAGAAGGCAAGACTAAAAAGACTTAATCTCTTTAGTGGGACATTATAATTTAATACTTAATAGACTGAAGCTTGAAAGGAGACTGTGTTTGGATTTAAACCCTGCCTGTGGAAGCTTTAAGGAGCAGCTGTGAATACATTAATCTGTCTTCCTATGCCTTTCTTGCGTCCAGCAGTTGTTCCCAACGTTCCAGCTCCTCTGTTCCCCACTTCTCTGCATAAAGGGGTCACAGTCACAGTGGCCAGTCATCCACCAGGAGGCAAAAAAAAGCTTTAGCTAGTCACCTCCCATTTCATTTTATAAGAATTTTATAATTTTATAAGAATGCTTCTTGGATGTTCATGGGCATCTAAGGAATTATTGAAAAAACAGTACCCTTAAGACTACTGCTTTGCTTCGTTTCCTATTTATTTTTCAATTCAAAGAATCTTTAAAAAATAGGTACAGTGGCATGTTTGGTGGGTATTAAAGGATGTTTTGTCATCTAGGCTTCATGTTAAGTGGCAAGGACATGGATCAAATGAACATATAATTTTTGTTTGAGATTATGAAAGCTAGTCAACAGTATTCAGTTAACTGAAGCTTTGATGGATTAATGTTGAATTAAGTGGCTTAAAGTGTGCACCCATAACAATAAACGTAGTTGGTGCTGCTACACAAAAATAGTATCTGTTTATTTTTGTAAAGGGACAGTATTATGTAGTGTACTGGAATAAGACCGTCTTGGGTTTTTGCTATGCCTACAGTATTAAGTTTAATTCCTTTGATGATCTTATAACAACTACTGTTTATCATTTAATCTGTTAAATCCATTAAATAATGAGCAAAGTATAACATGAGAATACAAACATTGTTAATGTTTTGGACATTTCAGTTTTTCTTTTTAACAAGTTACTGTTTTGTAGGAGTGAGTGAGGTTGACTATAACCTCTATCCAAGCAGAAAGCTGCAAGAGCAATGGTTGAGATCTTACCTGGAAGCTTACAAGGAATATAAAGGATTTGGAACAGATGTCACTGAGAAAGAGGTTGAGGTGCTTTATGTCCAAGTAAACCAATTTGCTCTGGTAAGTTTAAATTTTATTTTACTAACAGCAGGACTGGGTGCAAGTGCTCTTGGCAAGATTTTAGATCCTCTTTGCCATCTTTCTTGGCAGTCAAAATTCAATGATTTGTTCCTGGATTTGAGTCAGTATGTAGGAAAAGTGTAGGTATGCGCAAAACCTACCAGGAAAGGTATGTTCTGGGGGATTGTGGAATGTTTTATTTCTCCTCCAGACCATGCTGTTTGTTCAAGGGGTGCTCTGGTGGAGTTTTTGTGGAAATAATTTTCAGCAAATTGCTGGGCCACCCCTGAAATGAGTCCAAAGGCAAAATAAAACATTCTGAAATTTTCCAGGACAGTACCTCTGCGTATGCCTAGAAAGGATTCTCATAATTCTCTCTTACTTTTGCCACAACAGATTCACAAGTGCTATGCTTCTGTCATCTTTGCCATTGTTATGAAAATGCTGGTCTTTTTCTCTCCTTAACTAGGAACCAAAGATAAACATTATAGCTGGGGATTTCGCCCCAGGGAAATGGTTCAAATCATGGCATTTCTGGCAAGAACTATATGAATGTGTGCAGTTGTGTATGTGTAGAGAAGGCCCGCCCCTGCCTGGTGCACTTCATGTACTTCCTTTATGAACAAATAAGTTCTTCAATGTGGTCTCTGTGATTTGCACAATTGTTTATGCATCTATGCAAAGCCCTCTTCAGAATCTTCTAGATTTCATGAAATTACTTGGCAGGAGCCCCACTTCCTACTAAGACTTCAGTGTGTTTGTAACTACCACTTTCTCAGCACATTCATATTTGAGCTGTATCATTTTTTCTTAATTTTTCTTTAAAATAATTGAAGGCAAAAGGTGTAAGCACTGCCAGATGTTAATGAAATTCCTCTCTATAATGACCTCCAACTCCATTACCACCAGTCCCACCTTAGGACTGTCCAATTTATATTGTTCAATCCTTACTAGCCTTTTTCCCCAGCCTAAGAATTGATCTCAGAAAAGATCTGAGACAGTTGTGATCTCTTCTGGGCTACCTTCTTACTCATCAGGATAGTCAAAATTGAGCCTTTCCCCTTCAGTCATACTGAGATCATCACAACCATTCTGCTTCCAAAGGGTATATTTCCCTGATTTCAGTCGGCTCCATGCCATCCCATTCCATCAGGTCCTCTTTCATGATCCCATTGTGGACCCATGCTCTTTGAAATAGCCTAAGATATAATGAAGCAGATACATACTATCTTCCATTCCACATTCTTGAATTCTGCTGCCTAATCATGCCTTGGACCAACCACTTGATAGCTTTTGCAAGTATCTGTCACCCTCAGGACTCTTCTTGAAGACATTTTATTCAGGTAGATCCCATATTTGAGATTCAGTCCAACATGTCTTTTGGTGCAAGATTACCATCTTATCCTTAGTGAAGGATGCATCTGCTAAGACAGCCTTAGATTCTTTTCACTGCCATCAATCCATGGGATCTGCATGATTCATCTCGAAGCAGAGCTTTTGCTGATCACTCTGAACTGCCTGTGATACTTTGATACAGTGGCCCAGTACTTGGCCTGGGGACTAAACCTTATCCCTCAGAATGTCTCTGTTCCTACAGCAAACAAATTGGTGGGATAGCATATTCTCTTGTTCTTGAGGCTCAGCAGCCTTCTCAGATGATAAAAGATTAAGTGTAAGATGCTACTGTTTCCACCCTCCTAATTCCAATGCTTCCAGTCTTGCTGAAGACCCTAAGAACTGATAGGCGAACCCATCTCCTGCGCTATTGATTTTGCACCATGTCAGGAATCTTATAGAGAAGAGGGGTACCTTTTCTTACAGCACTAAATTCTATTATATTGGATCCATTTTAGTCAAGCTCTCACCATCAGTAATATTCTGCATGCGTGGATAAGGATGGGTGATAATTGGACAGTTTCAGATGCAAGTTACACTTAACCAGATGTGTTTTCCCTCTATATTTCCAACTATATGTAATTGTATCAACTTTTTGTATGAGACAAAACTCCCTTTGCTGTATCATTTGCCAGGGAACAAGAGGCAAATTGTCTAAGCAGGACAACTTGCCAAGCAGGAATTAAATTTGTGATGTAGCTGACTCAGCAGTCAAAGGTAGGTGTCTTCTGTCACCCTGCATCACTGTGTCTGGCCCTGCTCCAGCCATGGTGACCTGTTTCATCTCTCTTGCATAGACATAAAGTAACTCCTCCTCTCACTCCTGTTCTGTGTCAAGGAACTCCTCCAAAGTGCTTGATCATGAGGCATTGGAATCAAGCTCTTCATAATTTGAAAGGGTCTTCAGGCCCTTGAAGGCTGTTTGCATCATGAAGCAACTGATAATGGATAATCCTTTGCAGCAGAAGTAGGATAGATTCCCAGTCTCTTGACAATGCATTTTTTAAATGTATCTCTGTTTTATGTGTTTTCACCATTCCTGATCGGAATCCTGCTGAAGACCCACAGTTATTTAACCAACTGCATTCACATAATGTCTTGGTGATACCAGATCAAGTCTTTTATCCAGGCTTTGATTCCCTCCATCTTTCAGCTTGGGGCAATTTGATTCCATAATCCCTCCAGGATCTGATAGAGCAGGTTATCTGACTTCTTGATAGCTTTTCTTAGGGACTTCCTATATGGCTAAATTGGAAATCCTTTGAGGGCTTTTCCAGAAATAATATTTTAATATCCTGGAATATCAGATCCATCACATTTTGGATGTTTGAAATAGCAATAGCTTGGCTCTCCCTTTAGTAAAATTATACCTTTGCAGTCATCTCTTCCCTTTGTCTTTCATTGGAAGGTACTTCCCTTTTTTCTAGCAGCTCATGAAGCATTTTAGGAAAGGTGTAGCACATTGCTGTCCTCTAGCATCCCCATCATCTCTGGCTTGGAGCATCTCCCTTTTTTCCCAAATTAATACCATTGGAAACATCATTTCATTTCTTATATGTCTGTTTTAGTCTTGTTTTTATCATGATCATATTATTCTGCTTTACCAGGACCAGGATTTATTCCTTTTTTAAGTCTGCCAAAGTGTGTGATCTTTCAGCAAATGTTTTGCTAAACGGATAGAGGTAACAGTCCAGCTTTGCTATGAACTTGCCAAATAGATATGCTCCCTTCTGATCCACGCTTGTTCCACATGTGTGATGGCGGCATTAGCAGCCTTCAGTTATTTTCTTAACTGAATTTATATTAGGCAGCCAGATAGGCTCAGTCTTTACTTCCATCCAGTATTATAAACTGGGCCTCTGCTCTCAGAGAGATGCAGTCTTTAAAAGGTCTGTCCTCTCTTTGGTCACTTTATACAGCCACATTCTCTTCCAGGTAAGCAGCTTATTACTGACACATTTTAGTGAAACACCAGGGTCACATTGGACAACCACTCATGATTACATATAGCCACATTTTTCTTAATCATTATTTCTGAATTCAGACAACAGCATTACACAGCCTTAGAAAAAAGAAATTAATCTGCTTTAATTGCTTACTACCATCTCTACACTCTTCATTTGGAGAGAGAAAAAATAAAGTTTCTAGGCCTTTATCAGGTGCTGCCAAGTTGGTTCTGGTGATGGTATGCACAAGTGCTAACCATCTTGACTTGTCTTAGCTCTTCTGAGGACATTCCATAACTGGCCTCTATTTTCTGCCATTAATGTGAGACCAGAACCAAACTATTTGGAATGTAGTTATTCATGAAATAGGTAGTGTTAGATGGTGGCTGTAGGTTCCATCTAATCTCATATTGAAATATAGCTGCATTAAATAGTATATGCTACAAAATGCTATAGTTCTCAACATAGCAAACTCACTTAAAAGTAGCTAGTTTAGTAGAGTCCTATAGGAGTAAGGTATTTCCATATAATAGGAAGTACTTGTATATCTTCTGATATTTAAAAGCTGTTTTATTTTTACAAATACATCTTATATTTATTAAGGCTTTACAGAGTGTTCTAAAGAGGCGCTCTATGTAGTGTGTTAGCACAAACAAAGCTGCTCTCTTCACAGTTACAGCAACTCCATCCTTTGCAAGACTCCCGGAGCTGCTTTGAAAGCTGGCCTCATCTGAGCACTTGGGTCACTAGCAAAGTGGTTGAGTATGCCTAAGCCTGCAACAGAACAGCTGTGTGAGCCTTCCAAAGGATGCAGCTACTTAGCAGGGAGATGACTTATCAGTGTTAGCATACAGTGGTACTTAAACGTTTGTGAACCCTTTTGAATTTTCAATATTTCTGCATAAATATGATCTAAAATATGATCTGTTTTCCACACAAGTCCTAAAACTAGATAAAAAGAACCCAATTAAATGAGTCAAAAACATTATACTTATTCATTTATTTATTGAGGAAGATGATCCAAGGCTACATATTTGTGTGTGGCAAAAGTATGTGAACCTTTGCTTTCAGTAACTGGTGTGCCCCCCTTGGGGGTAACAATAACCACAGCTAAACATTTCCAATAACTGTTGATCACTCCTGCACATTGGGTTGGAAGAATTTAGCTCATTCCTCCTTACAGAACAGCTTCAACTCAGGGATGTTGGTGGGCTTCCTCACATGAACTGCCCACTTCAGGTCCTTCCACAACATTTCTACAGAATGAAGATCAGGACTCTGACTTGGCCACTTCAAAAACATTTCCAATAACTGTTGATCACTCCTGCACATTGGGTTGGAAGAATTTAGCTCATTCCTCCTTACAGAACAGCTTCAACTCAGGGATGTTGGTGGGCTTCCTCACATGAACTGCCCACTTCAGGTCCTTCCACAACATTTCTACAGAATGAAGATCAGGACTCTGACTTGGCCACTTCAAAGCATTAACTTTCTTCTGCTTTAACCATTCACTGGTAGTACAACTTGTGTGTTTTGGGTCATTGTCTTGCTGCATGACCCACATTCTCTTGAGCTTCAGTTTATGGACAGATATGCTGACATTTTCCTGTAGAATTTGCTGGTACAATTCAGAATTCATAGTTCCATCAATGATGGCAAGCTGTTCTGGCCCAGAGGCAGCAAAACAGGCTCAAACCGTGATACTGCCACCACCATGTTTCACAGATGGGAAAAGGTTCTTATGCTGGAATGCCACACATAATGCTTTTCATTCAAGCCAAAAAGTTCTATTTTGGTCTCATCCAACCACAGAACATTCTTCCAATAGTCTTCTGGCTTATCCATGTGGTCTTTCGCAAACTGTAGATGGGCAGCAGTGTTCTTTTTGGAGAGTAGCAACTTTCTCCTTGCAACTCTGCTATGCACACTGTTGTTCAGTTCTCCTGATGGTGGTCTCATGAACACGAAGATTTGCCAATCCAAGAGAGGCCTTTTGTTCCTTAGACATTAACCCTGGGGTTCTTTGAGGCCTCCTGGAGGTCTCTATGACACACCTTGCTCGTGGTGTGGTCTTGGTTGGATGATCACTCCTGAGGAGGGTAACAGTGGTGTTGAATTGCTTCCATTTGTATACTATTTGCCTGACAGTGGACTGATGGAATCCAGACTCTTTGGAAATGGTTTTATAACCTTTTCCAGCCTGTTGAGCATCAACAACTGTTTTTCGGAGGTCCTCAGAAATCTCCTTTGTTCAAGCAGTGACACACTTCTACATACCTGTGTTGTGAAGATCAGACTTTGATAGTGAATACCCAGAATTCTATTTTTTGAATGAGGCAGGACCTCCCACACTCACACCTGATTATCCCCCCATTGATTGAAACACCTGACTCTAATTTCCCCTTCAAACGAACTGATATTCCTAGAGGTTCACATACTTTTGCCACACACAGATATGTAACTTTGGATAATTTTCCTCAATAAAGAAATGAACAAGTATGTTTTTGACTCATTTATTTAACTGGGTTGTATTTATCTAGTTTTAGGATTTCTTTGGAGAACAGATCACATTTTAGGTCATATTTATGCAGAAATATTAAACATTCAAAAGGGTTCACAAACTTTTGACAACCACTCTACTTGTGTGAGACCTAATGCTTACATGTGACTTTAATAAACCACTTGGGGGAAAGTTATTTCCCATAAAATACCAGTTATTGGCTACATAACCCTAAAACATACATACACCCCTTTCTTCAGTTGTTTTTCAAGTTTCTTTAATTTTGAACTATAAATATTGTAAGAGATTTCAGGTTACATTGCAGTATTGAATGGGATTGCTTAGTACAGTTCATGTTAAAACCCTAATTCACAAATGGATGGTTTATCATAATATTGTCTTAGTATCTGCCCTGTTACTGCTTCAGGGTATTAAAGTTTCCAAATGGGTGGGGTCTAATTTGCAGGTCACATATGAACAAACTTATAGAAATTAAGTTGTCTTTGGTGTTTATGAAGTATATATTTATATTCATATATATATTTATGAAGTATATGTTTATACAATCGGGTAATATAGAAGAAACAGGAAATATTATGAAGCAACTATGAAATAAAATGGTAAAAATAGAAATATATCTTCTATGTAAATAAGGAAGATTTGCTATGTTTCAAGACATACTTTGGGGGTTAGGTATTGCAACCTTAGTATTTATACATACTAAAAGAAATTTATCTCTTCAGTTTTAAGTTTTCAGAAAATTCCAGATTAAAATAATCAGTGTTGCTTGCTGCACACTACAATTTTCAGTATTGTGTTTATAACTCATTGACAATGTCTGTTAAATTTTGGTTTGATATTGAAAATAACCCTAGAAACTGTTCATGTCAAAATATAAAGGGATAAAATGGCTATGGTTTTTTTTAACGTTTACATTAAATTATACATTACTATATTTTTTCTCTGAAGAAGTCTTAAGTCCCACTTCAAGGGAAATGAAAGTAGAGTACAATTGGAGCCTTCAGAGTTTAAGGTTGAATGTGAGAATTGAGGCTGGGGAAGACTGTTCTAAATCTTGGGTTTAGAAGTTTGTTGGCCAAAATTACCATAAACTCAGATTACCATAATCTCAAATATTGTGGAATGCAATATTAAAGCAATGGTATAAGCATTCATTATTCTTGTATTGCTGTATCTGCTAGTCTCTGAAAACCAAGACCATGCTAATTGGTTTCACTGATCAGGGTTTATTTTTCCCCTCCTCTCCCCTCCCCTCCCCTCTGTAGGCCTCTCATTTCTTCTGGGGATTGTGGGCTCTAATTCAGGCCAAATACTCCACTATTGACTTCGATTTTCTAGGGTAAGTAATTAACAGAATTACCCTATACTCAGATGTATAAGAATACTTTATATCTACATGATTTTGTATTAATATTAAGCTTCAGATTTCAAGTAATACTTTTGTATTACTTTTTCTCAAATGTGTTTTTTCACATTTAAGATATGGACCTTTAAATTTGAAATAACCATAACTGACTGACTGTGAAATGGATTTTTGTTGATACAAATATTTTTTTTCAGAATAGTCATCTGCATAGGAGTATGATAGTAACGCATAAACACGTAACTAGCTGCTCTTTTGATTATAATTATTAAAATTTCATTTACTCAAAGTTTGATGAATAGCTGCTTGTGATCAAGTGCTAATGATTTATGAATGCAAACTATTTTTATCCCCTCTCAGAGAATTGCAGCTCAACCAAATTAACTTTTAAAATGTTTAAAAATCCATTATAACTGAATGAGTGGAGACTAATTTAAATCAATTTGAATTAAATTAATTTTAATAGACTAAGCAGAGTGAGAATACAGGAAATGTCCACTTTTCATGCTTTTTTCTGTCTTGAATCCAGTGCATCAACTTTTCCTAACCCTTAAATAACCCCTGTTATTTCAGTCTCATAATGCCCCAGCCAGCATGTTTATTTGCCACATTAGCTGAAGGACATGGAAGTTGAAGTCCCAACACATAACGGCCCCAAATATGTGCCATGCTTACTGGGACCCATAATCCCAATCTTACTAAGCCTTGGAAGGCATGCTAGTTATAAATACCAATTAAAACGTGCAACACTAATATTTTTGGCTATATGAAGTCAAAACATAGATGCCGAGTGGGTTAAATTTGCTAACCAATTTGACCTGTGGCTAGGTGAAATGTGTCTAGAAATATAACCTAAATCAACCGTCTATATCATATATTCTGGCCCACATTTTTTTAAAAAGTTGGAAAAACTATCAGTACACCTACATATGACAACTATTTACAAAAACATTACATAACCACTAGATGGCAGGCAAAACTAAAAATAAGTGCATATAAAAGTTAAATACTGTGATTCATGTAAAACTGCACCCAAAATTCATATTTCATGGAATACTTTTATTTCCTCACATAGGTATGCGATTGTTCGCTTCCATCAGTACTTCAAAATGAAGAATGAAGTAATGGCATTAAAACTTCCTGAGTAAAATTTGAGAACTTCGGTTATCCGCCTGTTGATAAGATTCCTTACTGTTTTTGTCATGAGTACAGATAATAGGAAAAACTCTACATTTGTATTGTTCCTTTGGTGTTTTTTGTTTTTCATTGCCTTTAAATAACAATGTAAACTTAAAATGAAAGTCTTTTCTGATATTGTGGAAGGATTAGAAGCTAATGGATTTCTGAAACATTAAGAAAGCAAATTTAATCCTTTTTCTTGTATTTTTTAATGTGTTACATGAATTATTTATTACGAGTTTAACATTCCATTGCTGCTGTTTATTGGTCCTCCTTAAGGGAGAGAATGCAGGCTATCATCTTGTAAAGTTTTTACATCTCAAATTGATACAGCATTCAGTTGTTTAATTATGAACTATATCAAATCTACACAGTAACAGACCCCAGTGGCACTCAAGTAAGTCACTGGTGCTGACTAGAGATTATATCAGGGTGGAACAAAATAATGTTCATCCTCTTGTTTCTCTAAGCTCTAGCAAAGTGCTGTGTGGAAAAAATAACCATTCTTGTATATAGTGGAAGCAAAAATTTTGTGGAGGCCTGCTCACTTCATTAAGGAAATGATACCCACTTTCTATAGGTTTTTAAATCTGAAGAGGGATTTTATCCTGAAATGTAAGCTTTAAATGACCACTCTTCCAGGTGTCATGTCATTTCCTCCCTAACAACAGTTTTTGAAATCTTTGAACACCTTTGTTATATAGTTTAAGGATAAAGGTATTAGCTGGATACTGTAATAAAAACCAACAGTGCATGCTGTTGAGCAATCCTGTAATGATTGGGAGCAAAACTGTACCACTGAATTCTTATTTCTTTAGGCTTTGTGCGTGTTCATAATTTTCCTTGTTGGCTTCCTTGTCTTGAGTCCACCTTCTTTGTCCTCCTCTCTTAGTAAATGGTAGTGGCATTTGAAGAATGAGAATTGGTCATGAACGTTTTGATTTTCTTTTTCAAAAGCTATCCTACCAAGAATGATTTAAATTTCAAAAATGTGAAATGAAACACAATGTTTACTTAACTAGTGTATGTGTGAGAGCATGTGTGTTTAAGAATGGGGAAGTGGCTTTAAACTTTGAAAGTCACTATACTGAGTTGAATAGTAGTTTCTGTTGGTTTTATTTTTTTCCACTTTTGGTCACTTAAGTGCCCATATATATACCTAAATAGGAATGAAGTGAGGAACCTGTTGCCCAGACTCAATAAAAATATTTATTCAGATATATTTTATAAGACTCTGTAAAATAACCATTGGCTAAAAAATAAGACTGACTTGATTTAATACAATGATTAGGATAGATGAAAATTTCAACCCTAAGTCATTGATAAGATCTTCTGTTCACAGAAATAAAAACATGATGAGATATATTTTGAGATGTAATATTTCTAAAATCACTGTCTTCAAATGTCCCAAATTAGAATAGTTCTATTCGGCAGTGGAATTAATTAAGAGAAAGTTAAGGTACAATCTGTATTCTGTTATCAGCTTTCCCCAATGTGGTGCTGTGTGGATGTGATGAACTTAACTGCGTGGTTAATGCTGAGGTTCAGTTTATCTGGATGGTAACAGGAATTATATTCTACTCATACTTAAAACTTTCAAAGGGGAGGGTAGCTTTGCTTTTAAGATACATTTCAGCTCTTACCACAGTATACATAAATTGGGCAGCTTCTCTTGATCAGTGTTGAGCCAATAATTAAAGGTAATGTGTATTTTATGAGGTAAAGGGTGTTGCTTGAGCTCTAGAAAATAAGAAAACAGAGAACAGATCTTTTTTATGTCTTTGTATTCATTTTACATAGTCTTTAATGCCATCTTACTGATGAGGCACTTGGGAATTCGACAGAATTAAATTACTGAAAGCTTTGATTTTCAAAAAGCCTAAAATTGCTTTGCTCAAAATGCTCTCTGAATTAAACCGTTACAGAATGTTACTGTTGGAAAAATTCAAGTAAATGTGACTTTTCAAGCTAGGTTTTTCCTACACCAGCGAGGCTTAAGGCTTAGTAATACTAGGAAATGGCTACTTTAGTTCATTATTATTATGGTTATTATCATCTTCATCATTATTTTTGTTACATAGAAAATGATATCCAAAGTATAGTTGTTCGGCCCCTCTATTAAGCTGGAGAGAGAAGAATGTGCCTCCATGATCACTGGATGAGTCTGCAAATATTATTGATAAGCTTTTATTATGTTTCAGCTGAGCTTAGTTTGAACTAATTAAAAGTTTTTAAAATATATATATAATGAGCTCTTTAGAAGATATGTATTTTGGCTTGGTCTCCAAGGTGGCTGGATTTCAATCATGTTTCCATTTTTGCCAAAATTGTGTTAGATTGAACATTTTCCAGCACAGTATGTTTTTGAATACATACAAGACATATAAAAATAATTGGTGCTTTTAAGTCATGTTAAGAGAAAATAGCCATTTACCTTGAAGAATAGTGCATGCAGCTTAATATGGTTCTATTTTATTATTTCAGAGCTGTGGTTTTCTGCTCTCAGCTCTTTTATTCCTATTTTAAATTGGTTTTTGTTTTGTTTTTGGAGATGGCTTTGTCACACTTTCCAACTTGCTTACATTTTTCAAGTACTTGAATCTTTTATTTTCCAGAGCTCTAGAAACAACCTCAGGTAATTCTGGCTATGACTTGGTAACAAACTAATCTGTTGCCTTTACTTTTAAGCTAAAATTTCTAATGCCATCACTAGTGACATTGTTATAAAACGTACTGAAAATAGGGAGTTACTAGAAATATCATTCAACACTGTAAACATGAGCCTACAGACCATAGTGGCCTAGTAGCTTTTTGTAAAGTAGAAATACATGAATTTTTCATCACACTGGCAATCAGACCAGGTTAATCATCATACCTGATGGATTCAGACGTCAAAGCTTCCTTGGTAATGGTGGTGGATTTAAAAAAAAACGTATTGTTTTGAACTCTTGGCCTAGGGTTCTTAATGTGAATTTTGTAGAAGGATTAGCTAATCAATTTATGGTAACCGGGCCTGACTGTGTATATATAATAGTGTAAATAACCATTTGTAAATTAGTGTGAATTGTATGGTACCTCGCATTTATGAATCTATGTATTTTCATTGTATGTTCCCTTTTGTAGAAATTGGATGTAAACAAAAATCCAGTTCTTGACATCTGTTGATCTCTTTTTGTTAAATAGGCTGCCTTCAAGGGAAATCCCAGTTGGAGAACAATAGGGTACAGTATCTGAGGATACATATTAGCTTACATAAGGTGTCTTTCTCATTGTGTTTGTAGTGTCTGCCTTAGTATTCGTACATTTACTTTGGAAGAGGTGATCAATCTAAAAAATGAGTCAGCATAATAATTGGTTTTAAGTGACAATATCCATTCTTCCAGTAGAAAGCAAATTGGCTAATTATAAGAAAAACTGTTTTCTCTCATAATACATAATGAAAGTCCACTCTGAGTACTGCTTAACATTTGTGGTTTGTCATGCACAGGTGACTCTTGCTTTGAAAAACCCTTGTACAAATTCCTTTCCCAACACTAGAGGCTCCTGGAAATTAAATAGCAACATGATCAAAGCTTGTGGATAGAACTAGCTAAAGCAAAAGGAAGATATGCATATATAAAACTACAGCAGCGAAAGTCAAGTCCTTAAAGCAAATTAGATGAGGAATTTCCATAAGACATGTTTAAATGAATTATGGTTTACTCCTGGTTAATATTGACATTTTCATAGATTCATTGACATTCTCCAAAAAGTCTTGTACACATGGAGCAAAAGCATTTGTGGGCATGCTTGAAGGTTGTTAAAGTTGCAAGCGTTCAGGGATACCTTTTGCTGCTTCAGTGGTAAAACTGATAAAATTGAAAATTTTCTCAATTTGCCCTAATTTTCTTTTTTGGTTTAAAAAAACCCTATGCCCAAAAGTAAAACTTTGTCCTTGTCAATCCTGGTAGGTGTTTTTGGAAAGTTGTATTCTGTTCAGCCTGTTTTTTAAAATTAATTTACATGTGCTTTTAAAAATTTCCCATGCACACAGTTACGTTGCAGGGGCTTGAATAGTTTTTTTTGTGCAGAGCTGGCCTGGAACTCAGTTTCTGTTGAGTTAGACTGTCCATATATAGAAAATCTAATCTATTATGGACAAATGATTGTTGGCTGCTGCAAAGCTATAGATCTTGAATGACTAGAGACTTCCCAAAGGGATACAGCCCTATAACACCTGGTGGTGCATGCCAGTTACTCTTGTGTGGAGAC